TCTTTGGGACTTCAGTTGTTGTCTGTGGGTGCCTGGCCAGCTCTTTCACACCTTTGCCCCTCCAACCAGTCTCTATGTGGTCTCCACTTTTGGTCCTCGGGTGTCAGGTTTCTCTCCTGTGAGTTTTCCATTGATTATTCAGGAAGTTTTTCTGTATTTTAGTGTAATTCCAGTTTGTTCCTGGGAGCATGTCCATCTAAAGTTTTCTAATTACCATTATAGCTGCATGAAAATGCAAGATATAAAGCTAACAAATGATATGCAACTCCTCTATACAGAAAACAAAACAGCATTATTAAGAGAAAGTATAGAAGAGCTTAATAACATGTCAGATTGGGGTTTCTGGAAGAAGATGCTGATATGAAATTTGTGTGTCACATGTTTATTAGGAATAAACACCCATGAAAGACAGGGGAAGGAAGGATTTGAACTGCAATGCAGACCCCTGAACACCTGGGCCAATCTTGCTGGGAGCTCTAAAGTGAATATTGCCCAACAGAGTTGTACTACTTCAGACAAGACTTTACATTCCTTTCCCCATTCCCCTCCCCCTGTCCTTCCCCCATACTGGATGCCAGCTGCCTTAGAAATAGTTGACCTTGGGTAACAGTTCTCTGCAGGTAAAATAGAAACTGAAGATGCTCACAGCTGGGGGCCGTCTGCTGGTGGCACTCCCTATGACTGGATAAAATCCTCTTATAAAGAAGAATTTGGGCAGCACATTTCCATGTTTCCCACAATCATGTGTTTGAGCTCTCAATATTAAAATGTCAGTTTTCCTCAAATTGATCTAAATATTCAATACAATAAAAAATCCCAATATTTTTAAATATAAAAATTATAGTAAGACACACTACAAAAATGTACTATTAGGGGTATTTGCAATATAGTTCAGCCAATGTCTATTTCAAGAATATTTTCTCTTTTTTAATTGATTTTTTTTTAGAAAGAGAGGAAAAGAGAAGGAGAGAGTGAGAAACATTGATGTGAGAATGAAATATTAAGCAGTTGTCTCCTGCATGCCCCATACCAAGGATTGAGCATGCAACCTTGGGCCTGACCAGGAATCAAACCCTAAACATTTTGGTGTATGGGATGCCAAGTCAACTGAGCCACACTAGCCAAGGCAGGATAGAAAGCTTTTCATTATTTTCCCCAATAATATAAGCAAGAGTTAACGTGTCTAAAACTGAAAGAAGCAACATCTCACTTGTTCCATTTTTTCCCCATGGAACTTCCCAGCAGTAGAGAGTCAGGTGCATCAGCGATTTTGTGGGTGTCCTCTCACTGTTGAGGGTGTCCAGAACAAAAGGCTCTGGCTGTTTAATAGACTCTGAAGTGTGCATGTGTGTGTGGTGAGGGTGGGGGTGGGGTGGTATTGATGAAGGAGGGTCAGAGTGGACTGAGGCAGAGTGGGGAAAATGTCTTCAAGAATTCTCCTATAAGAAGGTATCTGCAAAGGTACCTGAAGACCTCTGCCCACGGCTTCAGAAAAAGAGACTTAGGAATGAAGATACTTGGGTAGCAGTGTAAGTACCAAAAGCAGGCCCCACCCGGGGGCCTGAGTCCTTCAGTGCATCTCCCTTCAGAGGCTATAATACTTTGGCTGTGCGCCAAGTATGGTTTCTTTCCCGAGAGGTCAGTTAGCCTTTGTAACTCTCTGGAATCAGGCCTGAAAAGTCACATAGGATTATAACCAGGAGCTGAACTCCTCAAAAAGATTCTCAACTTAATTAGTAATCAGGGAAATGCAAATTTAAAAACTGACAATATTAAGTGCTGTTGAGGGTGTAGACCACCAAGAATTCCAAAAGACCTCTGACGATGAATATAAATTAGTTCAACTTTGGAAAACAGATTGGCATATCCTGTCACCTAGCAATTCCATTTCCAGGTGGAGTAGAAATCAAAAGAAATTCATGCATATGTGCACCAGGAGACAAAAATAAGAATAATCTCTTTATAATAGCCTCAATTTTTAAAAAAAATCCAAATGTCAATCAACTGTAGAATGAGTAAATAGCAATCCTATCTAATAATAGGCAAACATGGTAATTGACCGTACCTTTGAGATGCCTCCCATTGGCTAATCAGCATGATATGCAAATTAACCACCAACAAAGATGGCATTTAATTTGCATATACCAGCTGGGAGCGAAGACTAAAGATAACGTGGAAGCGAAGCGCTACAGAAGGGAGCAGAGGCGGTGGAGACAGGAACGAAGACAAGGCTGCGGAGGCAGGAGGCGGGAGGGGAACCCCAGCCGCAGCGGCTGGAAGCGGGAGAAAAAAACCCAGCCACAGCAGCTGGGGGCGGAAGGGGAAACCCAGCCGCAGTGGCTGGGGGCGGGAGGGCAAATGCAGCCACAGTGGCTGGGAGAAGGAGCGAAACCCATCTCAGTGGGTTTCGCTCCCTTCTCTGCTTTTCTCTAGCCGCAGGAAGCCCTATTCTTGCAGGAATCTTCCTGCAACAGGCCTCTAGTCCTATCTAATAATAGACAAACATGGTAATTAACCATACCTCCGACACGCTTCCCATTGTCTAATCAGGGCAATATGCAAATTAACTGCCAAACAAGATGGCGGCCGGCAGCCAGGCAGCTGAAGTGAACAGGAGGCTTGCTTGCTCCAGTGATGGAGGAAGCTAAGGTTCCCCT